CCGGCTTCCTGGCTGGGGAATGAACACAAGCCCTGCATTTTATTGACTGCATGCTTGTTTTTTTGCTTTTTTGTGATTATTTCGTTACTAAGTTTTCTAAAATCTCATATACTATAATCTTGAAATGTTTCTCAAAAGTGGCATCTTTTGGATTTTTAAATAAAGATATGATTTTTTATAAGTTTCTGGGAGGGAATATTTTGGGATAGAGCATAAAACTTTTAGTAAATAGTAAATATCATATGCTATAGGTCACTTTTTTTCTTCTTTTGAATTTGTAATGTAGGGCTTTCACTGTTGTATTTTGAATTTCAGATCCTTAATTTTTTTTAATTAAATTGAGATGATCCTTTGTCAGTCCCCAATTTATAGTGAGCTGTATTTAATCAAATAATTGGGCTTATGAATCTTCAATGATGATTAAGTTTGATCCGGAATGATCTAATTTTTTTGGTGATCCTTTTTCTTCAATTTTCCTCATATTTGGATAACTGGTTGAATATGTTTTGGCTGTGTGAACTTTAATGTTTTAGATGGAGCATCATCATGAAGAGGAGGTTGTTGATCTTGAGTCTTTTAGCATTATGACTCTATCACCTTTAGATGGCCGATATTTGCAGAAAGTTAAGAATTTGCACCCATTCTTTAGTGAATATAGGTTAATCCGTTACCGTGTAATGGTCGAGGTAACTTTCATTAAATTTTCCTGTAAGAATATATATTTAATAAGTGTTTTTTTATTCAACACAAGTGCACAGTGTTAGTCTTACATTATATATTTTTTAAGAATAATGGTTTCATATTTAAATGTGGATTATACAATCATTTTTGTAGCGAATGATAAAGAAATGTTTCTAGTAAAGCATGAAGAAACTGTGGTTGTTGATTGGATATCCTTGTTCGTCTGGCTTACAAATCATAATATGTCTCATGTATTTAGATAAAAGGTTTAAAGCCTTAGTTAGCTCAAAAGGTTTAAAGTTGTGCCTAAAATGTTCTGTGAACTATTGGGATATTTATATTTCATATGCATATCTGACAATGTTACCCCTCTTCTAATAAATTTGCATACGATGTAGTATTGGCAGTTTCTGTATAAGTCCATCGAACATTGTTCATTTAGGTCATGCTTATTAGTGTGCTTTCTTTTACAATCTGACAAAACATCCAGCCTCTGTTTTGATATATGTAGCAGTCTTCATTAAAACTTGTCATAGTGTAGTCATATCTTGGGTAATGGAGAAAGAGGTAACTTACATGTAAAAAAGGTTTACCTCTTTCTCCATTACCCATCATGATCTGACAAAGCTGGCCACTGTAGTTATTTTCTTGTTGGCTACTATGGTACGTGCATCTCCATGGGTTTGACAATTAAGGATCCTGTATGCATCGTCTTTGGCAGAAAGATGTATTTTGTATTCTCCTGGTACTTGTATTTGTGGTTAACATGCAGGAATCAGAATGCTTCGGCTGTTATATTATAAGTCAGGGGGATTTGATTGTTGGATTTATCCCCCCATGTAGGTCTTTTCCCTCTTCTGTCAATTGTCTCCTTGATAGTTTGTTTTCATTTGAAATACTTTAAGTTTGTTTACCTCGACACTTATATTGATTTTTGGTTGCTACCCCTTCCGCAGACTACAATAGTAATTCTTGTTTATGCGATTTGAACAATATTCTTGTGTTCTTTCCTTTTGAAATAAAGTATTTGGGTACTTGAATATGTAAATATCAACAAACCTGTGTGTGGTATGCTGGTATTGGTGGGACGATTCTGCCTTAGTATTTTCTCTTTTTGTTTACAACATAGATTTCTTGTTTTTTACATATTTAGATGCAGTTAGTTGTTGTCCTGTTCTACTCTCTCAATCATTAACATCTGTATGGTCTTGAAACTACTAGTACACTTGAAAACAACTCTCAAAATATCCGGCGGAAGTTTTATGTGGCGTGATCTCATCTATAAGAATTGAGATACGCGGTAAGGACTGAGAGAATTAGACCCTCTTTATTTATCGCATAAGTAAAGAGAATCCAGATCCGAAAAATACAATTGCTTCTCTAATTACATCAAAATATGCAAAATCAACATCTAAATATGCAAAAACAAAAATCACTCCAGTTCCTTCTCTAATGTGCCTCAAAAGGGTATTGTTTGCTTCAAACTCGAAGAGTAAAATATTTGGGAAAACCTGTTGACAGTAAAAAAGTTTATTGTTCTGTTGAATTTCGTGATAGCTGTTACATCATATTTTGCTCATTAGTACTTGAATTAATTTAAGTTTCATTATCTTAATATTCTGTTCTTTTCTCAGAAACAGCGCCTATAGCTTGGGATCTTATGCAAGTATTGCATTAAGCAAGCGGACGTACAAAAAACAACCTGATTATTTCTACATGTAAAGTTTCTTTCACTTATAACAGAATTTGCCACCCAAATACTGTCACCGTCTTTAATATTTGATGAAAGTTTACAGCGGTCATTCTTAACATTACATTCGTCATCACATTTTGCTGACGTGACAATGCTCTGACCCTGCCATGTTCAGTAAAAAAAATTAGTGAAATCACAAGTTCAACATACAAGTTTGTATGAAACGTGCAACAAATTTTTGCTAACTTGGCAGCCATGTGATATTGTCAGAAATATTTTACAAAAGTTTGCAAAAAGAACATAGATTGATGAAAATGATAATATTAATGACTGTGGTTCATGACTTCTAAATATTAATGATCCGAAAGGACTGAAACGATACTTAGCTAGCACATGAGGGACCTACAACAAAGTTTTGCCAAAAGTCTATATGCATTATTAGATTATCCATCATTTACCTTCCTTTTAAACACTAGTAAAAAGTGGTCCAGCCCCAACAGGTGAAACTAACCGTTAGGGCTGCTAGCACAAGCCCCAACGGTTACAACCGTTAGGGCAAGTGTTTTTCCCTAAGGGGGGTTATTGGTTGGGACAAATTAGGGCCAAGTGGGAAAATTATTCCAATAGAACAATTTTATCCATTTGGGATATTTTGAGCGTGATAAAGTGGGATAAAGTGGGATAATGTGATAATTTGAGAATTTGATTTGACAATTCATGCGGGATAATTGATGATGTGACACCTTATTAGAATATAATTTTATCTATTAAATACTTCTAAATTAACTTATCCACTTGGTTTAGTATATTATAATATAAATATTATTTTACTTTATATTAAATATAATATATTGTACTATACTTACAAATTACTATTATATTATATTATATTATATTATATTATATTATATTAACATGCTATACTATATATAATAATTAATATAATATAATATCAATATATTTAATATAATATTTTAATAATATAATATTTAATATTATACATTATTTTATTTATACAAAAATATAATATGTTATACAATAATTACTAATTAACATTATATTAGTATGCTACATTAAATAATAATTGATATAAATATGAATAATATAT